ATACGGCTCGCACAGATGCCTATGCGATGCGGTTTGGGTGGCGGCTGCTCTGCCTTCGCGCCTCCGGCTTTACAAAAATACTCTAAGGGTAGGGCAGACAAGACTACGTGGAGTCGGGGCGTTCTGATTAGGTTTTAGTACAAATTCGGCCTATCTTATCCTTTAATATATAACAGATAAAGAACAAAAAATGTCGTTCATACCTTATAGTAAGGTAAAGTCAAACATCCAACCTCAATAATTTTTTAGCACTTAATTCCTTGCTATTTATATTTATTGTATACCTAATATCTACGACCACTGCCCCGGCTTCCCTTTGAACGCGTGACATCACCTGCATTGAATCCAGGTGACGAGTGATTCTTGCACTTCGGAGCTCTACGGATCGCCTCAGCTTCGTCGTGAGGCCACGCCAGAATACGATATTGTATGCCTCGTTCGGTACTGGGCCCGTTCCACATACTATTGGTCGCTCCAATGATTAATAAAGCCTTTTCTGATCACTCTGGAAGAGACCATCCTGGTTGACGCGTGTCGACCTTTCGTTATATCGCCAAATCCCTCATGCATGCAGCGATTCTCTGGTTCAGGTTGTATCCAGTTGCATATATCCAGCTGGGACGTTTATCCGTCGATGGGACGTCTATCAAATCGTCATTTTGACGGTGCGCACAATTCTTGGCCTGTTATTACCCAACCTGAAGCTTATTATTCTGCCGAAGAGCGCATTTGCCCTTGCGATACGGTCCTCAATTATTTTTCTCCAGGCAGGGATAGCGTTACTTTATCTCACAGATTACCTCCAAATAGATACCGCATCATGGAATATTTGTTCTGTTTCGAATTCACCAAATTTCGAGTTGAGGGGGACGTGTCAAATGCGCTGTGATTGGATAATTCAAGGTTGAACTTAGAATGCTCCGAACCATAGTGATGGGACAGATGATGATAGGTAGGCATGTGAATAGTGACTGAACACGTAACTGACCATAGTTTCATTGTCAGCGAGATGTAGGTCCTTTATCTCCTTCCTCTTGAATCCTTTGTGTGTGTTCCGGTATGTACTTTCAGAGGTGACAGTATTTTTGCCTAGTGTTGCACCTAAAAGTAGTATTATTAATTAAGAAACCATACGGTACGTGTTTCAAATTAAGATGTACTTAATAACAATAATAATAGGATATTACTGAAGTTCATGTAACACTAGAATAACATTAATCACATTATAACTTTCACTTGTTTTATGGTTTATAAATCCGTTAAAACTAGTTTAATTTCGACGTGTAACATTCGCCTAAATATTAGAATATGACGTTTCAATCCACCACTTAATGCCAATAAAAGCATACCTGACCCCAAAAAACCAAAAGCACCCATTACTTATTGTGTAATCACCATTGGCATTATACTTTTAAAAAAATGTAAAAGTCCATACTAAAACTGGCAAGTACAGAGATGGTATAGCGGAATCCAACAGCTTTCTACGGTTTTTCATAATATGAAGATGTCTTCCGTAAAGTGTCTTGAGCATAGAACACTATTTTTGGTGGGAAACCATTGGTCCCCTCGACATGTAGCGTTGATCCACATCTTTTACTATCGGGGCATTTAGGAAACCTATAACATATAGGTACCACAATTATATGCCACTATTTGTATAAAATAATGACTATGAAAAAAGTAAACGATGACCAAACAAATATCGACTTATAAATCACAAAACTATCGATACACGTGCTGTCGTTAAAGACAACTATTTTAATTTACGTAATAAGTGAAAGGGACATTTCAAAAAGACATCAACGGGTGCTCAAATGATATCACTTTGCAACATTATATATCCAGTGTAAGTTGAACTCCGATGCATTTGAAATAGGTTAACGTGATAAGAATAAAATTTAGTTACCGATGAAATATTATGCCATCTTTTTGATAACTGGATGTCTTAGCTGACTTGTCACGTCATTTCACTGTATAGGAAGCCATTTGTAATGTATTTTGGATACAAAATAATTTTTAAATTTTCAAAAACTCGGACGTGCCTACGGGTCACAAACTTGGTCGACAATGATATCGTGATTATTAGCGTCACTTCATATGCTAGCTACAGCAAGTATGGGTTTGCGCGGTTTTGTGGCCCTGTATACGGAATCTATTAGGAGGTAATCTGTGCTTTATCTAGTAACGCGTCAAACCGTGGGAGGATTGACGCCTATAATACGGCAAACTGACAGTACGGTGCCAAAAATAACTGAGTCCGTATCACAAAGGTCCCTGCTGGCTTCGAAATGGGTTACCAGCATTGGGCTTAGAGCCCTCAAGACGGTCCGAATTCGCTTGCCTATCGGTATAGGGGAAATCGCTATTGCGTGTTTCCGTAATCGCCTCTTACAATGTGCTCCTCATTTGCTCTAGTTCATGGGCGACTATATCACATCATTATTTGAATCAACCACAACTGGAACCATAGCTACATTCACGTGTGCGGGTGGATCCGCAACTTGTGACGCCACATCCTCTGCCGCAGCATCTTCATGTGGGAACAGCCTCACGCTAAACGCAAGATGTACCGAACTCGGTCTACCGGGTATTTCTCGGTGACGGTTATAGATGGCTCCAGCTCAGCAAAAAAGTGATGCATCCTAGACCGGTACGCAAAAACCTACCAATTTCTCCCTAAAATACGCTCGCAATGCGTTCGAGTTCATATCTTTCGTCCAACGCATGCAGCGTACTCCACCAGCGGCGGATACCGCTTGTTGAGTCCGAGAGGAGCCTGCCGACACCAATCCCTGGTGGGAATGGCGGATGCGAGGTGCTGCTGGAGGTAATCGTGCAGCAGTTATTATTTAAGAACATTTAAATTTAATTTTACAGTTGATTGCCATCGTGTATATGATATGTGGAAATGTTCTGTAAATTTGGGAAAACTGTAAGTCGATTCAAATCAAACATTCGCCAGAGTGGGGTATATATAGACCGATACCCTACACATTTACCTCTGAACTAGAATGGTTAAAATCAACAAATAAAAATAAAAACGTCACTTTTGTCTTTATGTACTTTATTTTTTTGTCACAAACTACAGAACTGCGGTTCTACAAGTCAAAAACTTTTGTTGGACCAAAACGCTCATTAACCATAATTAAATTGACATAAATAAATGTATAATTAGAATTTATATTAATTTGCAATGTCATAAATTATTGAAATAAAAATCTTTTAAAATCTAAATTCATATACAAATAACCTCTCTTAAATTGACAGTAAATGAAAAAAACCGAAGAAATATTTTTTTAATGGAAAATCATGATGTTTATCACAATGTTATGGACACTAAGATCCCCAGTAAATTCTCTATCAAATATACATAAAGTTACATTTTAAAAAGATAAGCAAATACATTTTTTATATCTTTCAAAAAAGCAGAAGGTTTTATAGACAAAGCCGACGCGCAAGAAATAAAATGGCTGTAAAATGCCGGTAATTCAATAGCAAAAATTCAAGCACATATAAAGCGATGGAATAAAACCTTAAGCTTCGTTGAAAACTAAAGTAGAACTTACACTCCATTGACGCAGAACATGCCATACATTTATATTACTTTTTATGCCTTTATTCATATCATGCGTTAAATATTTGTTCATGTCAATTTAAATCTACAAATATTTTTTGTATGAAATGCCCAAATCGCGTCCATTGTAGATAAATGATACAATTTTAAATATTTTTCAGTCCTAATAAATTGTAGAGAAATAATTAACAAAAGATAATTAAGCATGTTTTGCATTAATGGAATGTTTACGACTAACATATTATTATATTACAATTAATAATAAAATTAATACGACTTTTTAGACTCATACTAGCATAAAATTATTATTAAAACTTACCCCAAGCATACGGTAACAAAAATTGTGACTTCATTATCATTTGATTGACTTTATTATGTATAGCGGATGATTTTATATACCTATTTTTTATCTATATATAAGGCCATTGATCGTCCAGCCTATCAAACCAGTGATGTGCCTGCCATCATCTAGATACGACAAATTCTCGATTATTTAAAATTTTCGCATTAAGTGTATTTTATAAAATCACAATTTTTGCTCACCAACCTCGTTCACACCATACATAAAATTGTAACTGTCAACTTAGATCTTTGCAAATGTGTAGTAAAACAATGTTGTAATTCTACTTATGTATGTCATAAATCTTATCATCTAATTGATTGCCAACATTCCTTTTTTTTGTCCAAATTGTAAAAATTCTAATTACAAAAGCTAAATTTTCAAATAGATAATAATAAAGATTTGTAGTCATTTTGATTCCTAATGGCGTCTGAAGAATACCGAAATTCTGCATTTAAAGTAAATACAATATAATTGTTTCAAAAATTTCCGTGTGGGGTATAAATAATAAATCTTTCCAAAAGTCATTTAGAATAAAAATAAACAACCTGTAGACAATATTAATTTTAATAACAGTAGGCTTAGCTAAGTTTTTTTTTCTATCGTTAAAGCTATACTGAATGAAAATAATTAACCAACTTTGTGATACATTAATTATTAAAAGTTTTTATAAATATTTATAGCGTTAACGATTATAGAAAATAAACTAAGCTAAGCCCGCTGCTGGTAAAAAGAAGATTGTTAATAAAGTATTTATTTTTATTCTAAATGAGTTGTGCAAAGATGCTTTAGTAACGTCTAGCTATCTATATCACATATAGCAAATTTTGCAATTTACTGCAAACGCAAGATTTCGGTTTTCAGCCATAGCTTAAATTTTTAGTTACTTCAATTACAACTCACTATTATCGAAAAACACCTATGTTAAATTAGAGGTTTGGCGTGTGTTCGCGTCGCGTACACTATCGAAGCGTGGCTACAAGTTGTGAGTACTACACAGTAACAAAGAGTTAGTGCGTCAGCGAGCGCTGGGAGCGGCTTACGGGATCCAGCCCACCACCCAGCTGGGGCTTCGGGTGAACTGGCTCAAGCGACGAATTCGTCCGCCTGCAAATTTGTTACAAGTGAATATTAAGTATCACATGAATCAATCGCTGCTCAATTTTAACATGCCGTTTAGTCTCGTCCTGTCTCTATCACATTAAGTGATGGCAAAGTGACCGTGACACCACGAGACCTAACATTTTAAAATTAAGTAGCAACTGAGGCTATAAGAAACAATTATCTTTAAATGCCGCTTAAAAACAGGCTAATTTGGGTGTAGTTTTATCTTCAGTAAATTACTTAACAGATAATTTAAATTTGCTAGTTTTCGTAACATTTCAAAACTAGTTTGGGTTTCTGTTTTTATTTATATTATATTTTTAAAATTTCCAACGGTAATTATTATAATACAAGAAACTAGGACGTCATTTCTCGTATTGCAATATAGACAATTTTGCTTTCAAGCTCATAAAAAGTGTTTCAGTTGACTTGAATGTCGATTATCATATAAGGTCGGGGAAAAAATTTCTTCGTATTTTATGTACAAATTCAAGACATTTTTTAAAAGTTTAATTACATTTAATTATAATATATATGTGCCATTTTGTTCGCCATCTTGTAGGTAGCGACATAATCCTGTTGCTGTAGAAATCTTGCGACTTTTTAATAAAAAATTGAGACAAGTAGTGTTGACAGTCCTTTCTTTATGTTAACCTTATACTGCCCAAAGAATTTTAAAGAGACTGACACAGGTGAAAATCTGAGTGTGCAAGATCTGGACTATATAGTGGATGCATTAAAACTTCCCAACCATACTGTTTCAGTTTTTGCTCAGTGGCCAAAGATTATGCGGTCTGGCGTTTTCATGATGAAAGACCATTCCTTTTCTGTTGATCTATTCCGGTCGTTTTTACTCTCTCATTAGTTGTTGGCAGTAGAGATCCGAAACGATGCTTTTCTTCGGCGGTAAAAGCTCATCATAATAAATGATGCCCTTCCAATCCCACCAAACACACAGCATCGTCTTAGTGCGGGTTTCGCTACAGTCTGCGGAGCTTGACTACCCATTGACCATGATCTTTTTCGCACGTTCATGTAGGTTATCCAATTTTCATCACTTGCGATTAATCTTTTCAAAAATTGTTCGGTTAATTTACGTTTCAAAAGAAAATCGCAATTAACTACCGTAAAATGGGGTGAATAAAAATCGCGTGGTGAATAGAAACAAGTCTGATTATTTGATAAAGTTGTCTCTAGGTTTTTCAAGATTGCCAAAATAAAGTAAAAATGTAAGTATATAATAAACACACGTTCTGGATCTACAGAAAATCCTAGAGACAACTTAATCAAATAACCTGACTATACTAGTATTCACCCCATTTTACCAATACACGATCCATTAGGTTTCTTTCAATGAGCCCAAATATTCAATTTTTTTTTTGTACAGCCAGACAGACTTTTTCAAATGGATCAAAACTGTTTTATGGTCATTCCTCAATTCCTCGGCTATGTCGTGATATGCCGATCTTGTTCCACTTTTGAACCACCACTTTCAAAAATGAAATCGACTTTATCCGTATGAGGGTGACCAGAGCTGCATCTTTGACATCAAAATTTCCGGACTGAAAACGCTTGAACCAACTTTGTGCTACTCTTACTGACACTGCATTAGGCCCATAAACGTCGAAAAAGGCTGCTTGAGTCGCATTGTTCCCTTTTTTGTAATAAAACTTCAGAATGTATCGAATTTCTTCGTTAGGTTCACTCATTTTAGCGGACAGTAAAACAATTGAAAAATGGCAGGAAATTGTTTTTTACTTTTTATTTTTCTTAATGTCCTATATGTATTGATACTATAACCAGCCAGATACAAACAATGAGATTTTTCTTCAATTTTATACAAACAAAATACGAAGAAACTTTATCTCCGACCTATTATTACTACCATAGATTGACGTACACATAAACATCGTAAGCTATCTATTTCTTATGTGACCATCTAATCTTTTTTTATTTTTAAGTAAGTAATAGGTAACAACTGGCTACGGTGGCGACCATGGTAACGGCGGGGCAGGGGGTGCTAAGAATCTCCGGTGGAGGTTCGGTTGCCACCTACGACGACTCGACCTGGCAACATATAACGCACGCACCCTGAGGACTGACGAGAAGATACTGGAGCTGGAAGAAGAGGTAGACAAGTTGCGCTGGCATATTATTGGATTATCCGAGGTCCGAAGAGAGGGGGAGGACACGGCAATCCTCGAGTCCGGCAACTTGTTCTATCACCGGGAGGGCGACCATCTGTCCCAAGGAGGTGTCGGATTTATCGTCCACAAATCTCTCGTCAACAACGTTGTAAAGATTGGGAGTGTGTCGACGAGGGTCGCGTACCTGATACTCAGAATCACCAAACGGTATTCGCTGAAGGTCATTCAGGTTTACGCACCAACCTCGGCACATCCCGATGAGGAGGTGGAGGAAATGTATGAGGATATTTCCAGAGCCATACATTCCTCCAAAACCTACTACACGGTGTTGATGGGAGACTTCAACGCAAAACTGGGCACAAGAGAAAGCGGTGAGCTGAAGGTAGGGAAATTTGGAGTAGGGCAACGGAACCGAAGGGGCCAGCAGCTGGCCGACTTTATGGAGAAAGAGGGACTCTTTATGATGAACTCTTTCTTCCAGAAGCGGCCCCACAGGAAGTGGACCCGGTCGAGCCCCGACGGTTCGACAAAAAATGAGATTGACTTCATTATGACGACCAGACGCCAACTGTTCAGTGATGTCTCAGTGATCGCAAGGGTGAAAACTGGCAGCGATCACCGAATGGTTAGAGGCACACTGAACTAACTAACTAACTGAACCTAAACGTTAAGTTGGAGAGGTCTCGTCTAATGAAGTCAACGCTCCGTCCCCCTCGTGCTCTAATCCAGAATCCCGAAACCTTTCAGCTCGAGTTACGTAACCGCTTCCAGTGCCTAGAAGATTGCAATGCAGTGGACGATATGAACGACAAGCTCGTGGAAACTGTCCATGCGGTCGGAGCTAAGTTCTGCAAGACCCGCCGCAGAAGAACACAAAAACTCTCCGATCACACTCTTAACCTCATGGCTGTTAGACGGGAGATGAGGCTGCAATCGTCAACAGATTTGACAGCATACAGGCAACTGAACAGACAGATCTCCAAATGCATGCGGCGAGACTTACGCAACTTTAATACCTCTCGTATTAAAGAAGCGATCGAGCGGAACCAGGGCTCCAAAGTCTTTGCCAGAAATCTGTCTGCCAGAAAGAGCCAACTGTCAAAGCTGAAGACTGAGTGTGGCAACATCGTTTCCGGGACACCTGAGATTTTGAGTGAGATTGAGAGGTTCTATGGGCAGCTGTACACATCATCGTTGGAGCCACACGCAAGTGTGAGTAACGATCCAAGAGCAAGTCTTATCCGACACTATTCCGATGATATCCCGGACGTCAGTCTGAGCGAGATTAGAATGGCTCTCCACCACCTTAAAAACGGCAAGGCCCCGGGCGAGGATGGAATTACAGCGGAGCTTCTGAAAGCGGGTGGAAAACCGGTACTTGAAGTCCTTCGGAAGCTCTTCAATTCCGTCCTCCATGGTGGCACTACTCCCGAGGCGTGGAGCAGAAGCGCGGTGGTTTTGTTCTTTAAGAAAGGCGACAACGCTCTCTTGAAGAACTACAGACCGATTTCCCTTCTGAGCCGCGTCTACATGCTATTTTCGAGAGTCATTACAAATCGTCTCGCACGCAGACTCGACGACTTCCAGCCTCCCGAACAAGCCGGTTTCCGAAAAGGCTTCAGTACCATAGACCACATACATACCCTGCGGCAGATTGTACAGAAGACCGAAGAGTACAATCTGCCACTTTGCCTGGCGTATGTGGACTATGAGAAAGCCTTTGATTCCGTCGAAATTTGGGCGGTGCTACAGTCCCTTCAGCGGTGCCAAGTTGACTGTCGGTATATCGAAGTGCTGAAGTGTTTGTACAGTAGGGCTACGATGGCTATCCGAGTACAGAACCAGAGCTCGAAACCTATCCAACTGCAGAGAGGTGTAAGACAGGGTGACGTTATATCCCCGAAACTCTTCACCGCTGCATTGGAAGACGTTTTCAAGCTACTGGACTGGAAAGGATACGGTATTGACATCAATGGCGAGTACATCACTCACCTTCGATTTGCCGACGATATAGTCCTTATAGCAGAATCGCTGGAGGACTTAAGCACTATGCTCAATGACCTCAATAGTGCCTCCCAACGGATAGGTCTTAAGATGAACATGGACAAAACAAAGATCATGTTCAATGTCCATGTCACACCTATGCCGGTAGTTGTTGGGAGCACTATGCTCGAAGTTGTTGACGAATACGTTTACCTGGGACAAATAGTCCGACTAGGTAAGTCCAACTTCGACCGAGAGGTCAATCGACGGATTCAACTCGGCTGGGCAGCGTTCGGGAAATTACGGCATATCTTTTCGCCAGGTATACCTCAATCTCTAAAAACTAGATTGTACAACCAGTGCGTGTTGCCAGTGATGACTTAAGGATCTGAGACGTGGTCCTTCACTGCTGGCCGTATGAGGACGCTTAAGGTCGCTCAGCGAGCTATGGAGAGGGCTATGCTCGGAGTTTCTCTGCGTGATAGACTCAGAAATGAGGATATCCGCAGTAAAACCAGAGTGACCGACATAGCCCAACGGATTAGTAAGCTGAAGTGGCAATGGGCCGGCCATATAGCTCGAAGAACCGATAACCGATGGGGAAGAAAGGTTCTCGAGTGGCAGCCTCGTACCGGTAGGCGTAGTGTAGAGCGACCCCCCACTAGATGGAGTGACGACCTGGTAAGACATGCAGGAAGTCGATGGATGCAGGTGGCTCAGGACCGTGCTTTGTGGCATTACTTGGGGGAGGCCTATGTTCAGCAGTGGACTTGTGAAGGGCTGTAATGATGATGATGATGATGATGATATATATATATATATATATATATATATATATATATATATATATATATATATATATATATATATATATTAAAAATACAAAATATGTAATTTAGTGAAGTAGTACATTATTTATGTATATTTATTTATGTATGTATAATTAGTAATCACAAAATTTTCATTTTAAAACTTGGAAAATTAGTACTCGTACGTACGTAGTTAGGGCAAATTATGACTGTTCGCCAGAATATCCGGCGATGAGACTGGCCGAATATCCGATATCCAGCCAAACAACTATCCGTTACATTTCTAGTTAACACCGGCTTCAGAATGTCATTATTTTATTCTTCTTAGTTTACATCGTAGCTTAATGCTGCTGTTTTTCGTATGGTGAGTGTAGAGAACTGGAGACCCTTTTTACTGGAAATGAGGCATTTTATCTTAGTTCCGAGGGGTGACAACGCATCTGCATTTTAATTCTTAATAGAGGATAAACGATGTCTATGGGCCACACCATACACTTACTATCAGGAGGTCTGTGTGCTCGTTTGTTACGCTTTTTCTATATAAAAAAAAAACTTAACATTAACTTAATTATGAAACATCTAATACAGAAATTAATGATCATGCGATTTCAAGACGGAAGAAGTACTGCTGGTTTAATGGAGGTATCGTTTTGCCTGCGTGGCAATATTAATAAAACAATATAATATGCTATATTACTACTTTATATTGCTTAATAAACATCTTATGTAAAGCGATGAAGAAATGTACAAGAAAATCATTGTTACTCATATAACAGAAAGCGCTTTAGAAAACTGTACCTTATTAAGTTTTCCGGACGTACCAGTTACAACCATTATATTTCGGCGTTAAAATTCGATTTAAAAACGACATCCGCACTTCAAAATATATCGATCCCTTTACGCCACACGAAATTAAGCAAACATGTATGTTACATCCCACTACATAACCCTTTGTCTTTCTGGGGCAGTTGAGTAAAGTCAATACAAGTGTATCTAATGTGTTAATCTTTTTGTCTGTGGTAATTGATAAGTAATTAAATGCTGATTTTATATTATGTATGGCACGAATATATTGATATTTTTTTAATTATACCATCGGCATCGGCAAAGGATAAAAAACATATAAACTTGACCATAAACATTATCTAATAGAAACATATAAGGTACATTAAAATAGGGGTGTTTGTATGTTATTTTACAATCAAAATACATAGTTGTGTGGTCAAAATGCTGGATAAATTAAATGGTACAAATCCAAAGGATCAGTCAACCATACAAGGTGTTAGTGTAAACACCGTTATCCTTGAAACCAGTGGTTTGGTTTCACTTATAGAACGTAAATTCTATGAAAAATAACAACCTTTTTTTAGTAACATCTCAATTTTTGTCTGTCCTAAGCCAGGATGAAAGTATGAAGGAAAAGTTACATCACAAGTTATGTGTACCTATTGCGTTTTTATTGGAATTGTGTGTAGGTGGTTAGCGCGGGCGATGATCTTTACAGTGATTACGTCACTCTGGCGTATAGTGTGTCCATGAATTTACGGACGGTGTCGGACAGAAACTTTTTAAAATTTATAAAAGAAAATAGCGTTTTCATTTAAATTCATTGAATTTACGTTCTATGAGTGAAACCAAACCACTGGTTTCAAGGATAACAGTGTTTACACTAACACTAACATCCTGTATATATCAGTGTATAAAACCTTACCTCTAGTCGTCAAAGTTCTTTAGTAACTATTATTTGTTCAAGTATCAATTCTAAAATATTATACACTATGGCTGTATGGATATTACAAATATGCCTTTTTTCTCGACGTTTAAAAAACACTAGAAATCATAAAACTTTTTGAAATGACAACAAAATTTATTTCTGGTGGTATTTGAATACCAATAACACTTACCACACGTGTAGTTCTGGGCACTAAGCGCTGTTCTGGCTCCGGCGTTGCTGGCGTACTGCAATGCATACACACGAACAACTGGTCAGGGCTTTTATGTACATATTACGACGGTACAGGTTACAAATGACATTTGCTACTTTACTCTTTTTACAATTAACATTATAATAATATTTAATACTGAAATAAGAACGATAGAAATGTCACATCAATAACCCCGTCCTTTTATACGTGATATTCGTGCAAATCAAATTGACTGATATTATGTGTTTCTTCTTTACTAGTACTTTAAAGAAAGATATTAAATGTGAATTTATATATGAAGTAAATATACAATGTAACTATTGTAGCAAATGCCATTACCAGTATTTGCTAAAGTTAAATAATCATAGGTTCAAAATAATTCAGTTTCAGTTTCAGTTGACAGTCGGACAGGAGAAGTAAACAGAAATTTCCATGCCACAGTACGCACACATCTCAAGTGCCTTAGTATATTTCCATTCTCATTCGGGTTAGCTAACACACTCATGCAGAAAACAAGTTTTATTTTTAAGGTAACACACATCTTTGTCTATGGTATTATATTGGATGAAAATTTAAAAAAGATAACACAAATAAAAAAAACACATAGTATGTCTATACTGTCGTATTGAAACCCCACTGTTGGCAGGCCTATCAAGCGAAACTCTATTAGCAGAAGCCTTTGCGCATTGAAAAAAAAAAACAATAAACGGCCTTCGCATTCGCGCCAAGTAAAACTGGAGTTTTACCCATCATTCTGGCCGTTCCTACAAATTATCATTGCGCCCTACGCTCCCCTCTCTGCTAAAATCAAATTGTTTACTGTTAGATCAAAGAAATAAAAATAATTTACTTTATTGTGAGACTAGTGCTTTATGTGTTATGACAGTAGTACAAAATTTTTATAATTAAATAAAGAAGATAGATATATTCAGAAATTGTAAAAAGGTGTTAAAAGGTAGAGTAAATATGTCACTAATACGTAGTGTAAGAATGAATGCTAAAAGTGACATATTTTTAACAATACTGTATCGGTGCAGTTTTATTCACTTATGTTTAATTAAGTATAAACTATTTAAAGTCGTATAAATCAAATATTTCTTTCTACTTCTTATAGAATATAGAACACTACGGAGTTTGGGTAGAATTTTTTTTTAATTTATTTCAATAACTGTAAATTGTAACAGCTCATTTATACTTCACATTATGAAATTTATAACTCTTTAATTTTGTCAATTCATTTCCGACTTCATTTTATTACACATTTTTGTACAACTATAACAAATAATTTAAAATACAACTTCTAATGTAACAATAAAAAGTTGACAAAACATAGCAATTGAAATATAAACTATCGTGAATATCGTGTAATAAATCAAATGAAAAACACATATTACTGTACTTTCAGCAAATAGCATATATAAATAGTGTTCATCGAGCTGTTATAAGATAGATAAAACTGCACCTTAATAAGAGTAGCTGTCAGTGATGCAACTCAATCAATCGACACTGTAAAATAAGCTTTGATAAGCGAAGTATTGTTATCGCTGCCGTGCTAACATTGTACACCCTTCCAGGGCCTGACCTGCACGAAATTCTATTGGCTACGCGCCCCTTTTTGCAGGTTAAAGAATCTGAACTGAAGTCGCAGCGTTAGGTCTTTCCGTACTGTAATGGAACAACATACACTATCACAATTGAGTCGCTGTAAGGTGTGTCGATCCGTGCATGCCGGATCATGTAGTACAGTGACCTTGATCAATCGATATTCACTATAATGACCATGAGAATAAAGTTCAAAACTGTATACTTGGAACCGGTTGATCAAGATGACGTCAGTTTGTGAGATCATTAGAGACAGGGGGGGGGGGGGGGCACGCGTGGGTGTGTGAGTTGCGCGTCTACTCACGAGTGGGGATTGGGATTAATGTCGGGATGCTCAGCTAGCACGAATCTATCTTCACTGGTCTGTAATCCATTGGTTTCTTTTCGAACTTCGGGTCCATCTCCAGGACTCGTCGCTTCTATAACGAGCGAGCCTTCAACATTCTCAGTTATCACAGTCTTTCCGTCGTCCTTCGTGGGCGTTTTGTCTTCGACACTGGGCGGTGTAACGTTGAAGAAGCTATTGTCGATGCCGACGGCCGACGGCCGGCTTCGTGGCAGCCGCAAGCTTAGTGACGCTCTAGCTCGCTTTTGTTTTCGGCAATCTGACAATATCGATATCAGTTATCGAGCCGCTATATCGATTTTCTCTCGATTGCGATGCGATTCGTTGTTGAATGATTCAAGTTAATAGAAGCGAGGATGTTCAAACCGCCGGTTGCGTTATAACTGCAAGTGCGGACGAATAGTTGTGGCCCTATGGACGTGGATATGTATCGATGTAATCGCGATATTAGGTATAAAGTAGTACGATGATCGAAACATAATGCAATTAGTTTGTGATCACAGATTATATAATGAGTATGTGCTTAATAAGAAGTTACGGAGCTTAAAAGCATGTTATATTGCGACTATATCGATATGAATATATCGAGTAATCGTAAGAATTACTCGGTTTATCGCGGTTGTCACATAGGGCCTTATGGTGCAATGGGGTCTACAGGTCATAAACAAACGTTTGATTACTAGCGTGTGCGGAGACGCCGGGTCGCGATTTTGCACCGTACCATACCGCCTCTGCCCGTATCTGCGTAATGCGAGCGATAATATATGAACTGAACTGTTCGCGAAAATGAAAATGAAATGTTCGAGAATGTTCGTCGAACAGACACAGTGCAGTGACAGGTGCTTTTGAAAGAGCTCGTGCACACAATCACTTAATTGAAATAGTTTTAGTTAATAGACCATCTGAAATACATACAAACTCGCTTAAAAAATGTGATAATTAATTATTTTTCTCGGTACACATTTTGAATTTTTAAATGAACTTGCTATTTGAAAGTAGATCAGTAAAACTATAAGAAATCAAAATAATGTAAGCAATTAAAAAAGTAAATTTCCTACGTCTATCGTTTCTCCCTTTGAAATAAAATACCAACCAGATCATCTACCGCAACAGACAATCAACTACACTCCAAAGGCCATACTTATAATCGTTGATTATGGTATACCTGTCTCCTTCTATTTCTATTTAGTGAAAAAGAGAGAGAAACTTTAAGCACTTCGTAAATTGACCTCGATTTTATGAGTAAGGACACTAGTGTATACAGTATACCTCGCGTTCTAGATACTTCTATTCCCGGAATCTCATTGTAGATTTCATCACCATCATCATGATGTGGCTTAACACACCAATCTGGTCATAGCTTTTACATTGCAAGTACTTGCCAAAATTGTTACAATGCACAATGGGAAGCCAATCGCCTCGAACCTCAGTTGCTTCCCATCACTGGCCTGACAATTATTTATATTTTTTTAATTTAACGCATATCAACAATCCACTACCTGAACATAGGCCTTATAGGAGAAGTATTTGCCATAGTCGCCACGTTTGGCAACAGCTGGTTTTTGTTATTCTATTTTTTTTGAGATTTTTTTTTACCCGATATATTCTATCTGTCATTTTTGTGCCAGTAATTACCCTAGAACTACTACTAAAAGAAAAAAGTAGGTCCAAGAGAAAACATTCAATTTAGTGAGTAATTATATATGTAACACAATTAAGATGATTATTCCAAGTAACCAATCAGACATAAAAGAAACTCACATTTTTTTCTGTTTTCTGAACTACAAGTAAGATATAGTGGTTTCTTGATTAAACGATGTTTGTGGACATTAGGAATATGAGACGAATGCTTACCAAATCAAAATTTTTGCATTAACTCATTGTTGAATCTCTGTTTGAAGTGTGCTATGATGTTCGTAGACTGCAGCGGCCACTCATTTTCAGTTAGAGTTATAAAAAGAAATAGTTAAATCAGTGTTGCTTTCATTTTCCAAGCAGTAGTACTCTAGTTTGAAGATTGAGGTAGCCAATTACAGGCTATAAAGTATTCCATCTAGGTCCCCAAAGGTTTTGTTAATTCCAGGTGAGTGTTGCAGATGTTGAGGAGAATGGTGACTCGAACGTGGTCCCGAGCAACATACTAGCACTGCCAGGGGCAATAAGGACTGGCCCCAAGATGTGTTTTAGTAAAGCAAAGCGAGAGAATTGCCCTAGGTGTTTCGTATGGAGATTTCGGGCCCTCTCATATTCGCTGATGGTATAACCTTTCTGTTACCCCCGCAGCCGTAGGTCCCATGAGGATTTCCCCACAATAAAGCTAAAACCGTTAACATTGCTACACGTATTATCACAATCTATTACCTCACATGGTCTTGAGGGTGTCGTAAGAGGCAAAGGAGTGAAAATGAAAAGAGTTGGGCAGCAGCATCTTCCCGAAAACAACTCAATACTAAAAAACTGCTTTTGCCAAAAAAAAATTGTCATATTCACCCGTTTGGCAAGCGTGGCAACTATGGCAAAATTTCACCCATGAGGCAATCTATCAGGGAGGCTTGTTCAGCTGTGGACTTTTATAGGCTGTAATGGATGGATGGATGGGTTGTGTGTATGGGTGTGGTGTAGTGCTCACTTCTGTCGATGTTGCGCTGCAGGTGCGAGGCGACGCGGTGGCGCGCGTCGCTGTACTCGAGGTGCAGGCCGAGCCGCAGCAGGCGCGGGTTGGCCTCTACCAGCGACGTGATCTCCATCTCGGTCTTGTTGCCCAGCACCTGCGACCTCTGCAACCATACACCACACACTTTATTCACAACCACACGCGCAAACCTTTAATGCTCTTCCTTTTTTATTTAACTATTTATATTAAGGGTTATTTTGCAATACACGGCCAAATTTGCAAAGAAGGTCAAAAAACATATTCTCAAATAATGTCTTTTTAATTTTTTAAACTAACTGTGCCCCACGGTTTTACCTGCGTATATCATACCTCTGAGCCAACCCGCTCATATAGTTCAATCATTTTAGCTAAAAATTGGCAAAAATAATGTAGTACTTTTATCTATTGGCATATGGACGTTATAGAGCAAAGTTCAATTTTATCCACACTCTCTCCCCCTACCTGCTGAGCGTTACACCCCCCCCTCCCCCCCGCACCACTGAAAATTTTTCGAAGCGCGGTTTTTTCAGTTTTAAAGAAAACCGTACACGACATATGAAAAATGTGTACGTACGAAATGATCCTTAATAAATTTACTATGAATCTCTTATACATACGAGTACAAAAGCGATATCACTTAATAGTGTCCGCGCAATCTGCCAGGAAATATGAACATTTTTACATTTCGTGGCAGATTGCGCCGAAACCATGTGATGTTATCGCTTTTGTATGTAAAATTTATTAAAGACCATTTCGTACCAACACACTTTGCATGTATCATGTATATTTTTCTTTAAAAGTGTAAAACAATTACCGGGGAGTGTTGGGGAAGAGGTACGCTGACCCTAGAGGGAGATGGAGTGTGAATAAAATTTAAATTCAATCTAAAATAATAATAATAAATAATTTTCTTTCTCTTCACTAACAGTAGAGTTAACAACTTTCCATACTAAGGTCAACTTTGTGAGAGACTGGTGTGATCTATAAAGTACATATGCCGATAGAAAATACTCCAAATTTTGCCTCCTTAACTATCTATTTAAAAAAATCCTTATACACTTATCCGTCGTTCGCGCGCCGACCCGACTGTTGAATTATTTCAATTTTTCATTATCTCTTAAGCTATGAGTCTAAATAACATGCTATAAAGAGCAAAGTGTATTTTCATAAGATTATCTTGATAATGAAGTAACTTTCGTTCGTAAAGATTAATATGCCATGCCTAATAATAAAGCTCATAAATCACTCTTTTAATTTTCCATATCTTTTTGTCACAAAATAATTTGTTATCGCTGACTTTTTTTAGATGGAGGCAAGATCTATATTTTTGTAGAATATTGTATATACGTATCACTAGCAAATAAAACAGCGCACGCGGATAAATCATTTCGGGAGCGCTTTTTCTTCTGCCTTGCTTAACAAAAATCAATATTTAAGGTTATCTGAGAGACATAGCCTGTACTATTCCTCATGAATCTGGCTTTAATATATAAAAAGAATTTTTCAAACCGGACTGGTAGTTCCAGATATTAACGGTTACAAACAAAAAAAAAACTCTTCCGCTTTATTTGTTAGTATATATTCAGAATTCGTGGTAATACATTTTGATTGTCATTCATAAATATCTAACGCCTACTTAACGAAATTTAAGGCAGTCACAGACATTCGGAGTTAGAAAAAGGATAGGTCTTTGATTTTATATGGAATTGCTGCGTTCGAAATTCCGAATTGATATTCCTAAACGAAATTCCGATTGTATGGGACCGGCCGTTAACCGTTACACCGCTAGGTACCTACGTTTGCCGGACCGCCTGACAGTGTTGACCGTGACTATATTACGTACAAGTGTGCTACTGCTATTTTTAAATTTTCGTAAGTAGTAGTGTCGCTTCGTTACCAATGGCAGAACGCAATAGGCAAACCACGAATACTATGAAACTGTGAAATGGTGCGGTATTACATTTTAAGCAATGTAAGTTTACGTGGTGCGCAAAGATTATACGAAAGTGAGTCTTTACACCCCTCGAGGCCCTCTTATACTATGGCTGCAAACTAACCGGGAACTTTTACCGTTTGGGGTAAAATAGAGTCGACTTTACGTCAAAGAGGCCCAAAGTTATGGAGACCGCCACAGTAAAATTATTGCTTCGTTCACGGAAGTTAGGCGGCGCTGACGTCGGTGAGTAGTGACTGCGAAGTTAGCTGTTTGTGAGTACAAGTAGATGACGTAAGTTGAATAATGTACAAATTATCTTCGCGGCATTGGTGAGAAAATTTTTATGCTCCGTAGTTTTTTTTTTTAATTTTTGACAAAAAAAACATTAAAAAATAGAGAAATATTTTATTGTGCGTGGATGTGCAAGTGGTTTAGCATCTGATCGGAAAAATAGACTGAAAATGGCTTTCATTGAGCGAACTTTGCTATCGCAGCGCCTCACTTATGGTGTCCGTATTTCTGTGACACTGTTTTCTACGGCGATCGTTCTCCTGTTCTCTAACCTCCATGAGTGTGATAGTAAAACTGAAATCATAATTCGCGTCGTGTAGTTTTTAACTTGAGCATTAGTAGTAAACTTGTCATTAAGAAAGTAAACAGTAGACAAAAACTTGAGAAACGAAAACGTGAATTGAATCGCACGCTGTTGTTCGTCCCCACCTTTTCGTCTTTTCATATAAAGAGCTAGTATAATTCAAGGCCGAGAATTTCTCATTTTATACCTCAAGTGACAGGGTATCTGAAACTTCTCTGTTTGAAAAATGGCTGCAGGCGTGTTTGGATTGCATCAGTCACTTACTATTAGACAGACTAAGGAATTTTTTCTCCTGTTTTATAATAAAGAAATTTAGCTTTACCAACAACAGAAGAGAAAACAGGAATAGAGGGAAAAAAGATTCTGCAGTGTTAACTATGTATCCGTAAGCAAAGTGTAGTGCACTTCTAACTCAACCTCACTAAATAGTGACAATGAGATGCAGTAAATCGATAGATGCAAGTGGCTCAGGACTACTGGTGGTTAATATAGCGCATAGCGCCATATTTTAGCGTGCTATCTCTTTATAACACATAGCGCGTGCTATGTAAGTAGTCGCAATGGCGCTATTGCGCTATATCCAATGAACAGTTTGTAATGTAATGTGCTACGAGATATAATGTTCTGCAAAACTTAACACACTTACCGGCCTCCTACACGTTTTCTTATAAATAGCGCGCTATAACATAGCGTATTTAAAAGCGCGCTAGAAATTTATAGTTTATAGCAGGGGGGGTACACTTCCATACATTAGGTTGGGGTCCAATAATTTGCAAAGACACTAGTGCCATCTTATACATTGTCCGCATAAACTTTCGAACATTAGTTTCTAAAAGGTGCGCTAGATGGCGACTACACCGATTCTGGTTATTCTCGAACTGGCAAGTAGTAACTTTATACGACATAATGGCTACCGGCCCGGCGTCTGAGGAAGTTGTTGTTTTATTATAGTTTAAGTGATTTTCGGTTGTTGCAACAATAAGTTTGGTTGAGTTGGGATTAAGCCCTCTGTTTCTTGTTGTCTGTTAAGATTTTCATGCTGGAACCACATTGTATGTTTGTGTAGTGTTATGCGAAATAGACGCTTTCACTTATCATTCCGGTAACCCGGTGGACATATTTAATTTGGTTTGGTGTTGTATTTTGCGGAATAAACGCTTTTACATCGTGTATGTTAAATATATATAACAAAAATAAATGTTAATATTACTGAAATCTATAATACGTCTTTAATTGAATCCTAATCACTTAAAATATAAATATAACCGCCTATAGTATAGATAGCCGTATATACATAACTACATAATATACTACTATCTATAGTCAACATGATATTGAGATTAGTTCAAGGGATATGATACCAGACGGCGACACTATTCATATTGGGTGACAAAAAATCGTAGGAGATAGCTCTCTATTTCTGTACATATTACTCTACTCTATGGTTTATAGTCTGTAGCGTGCTATTAATTTATAGTCGTTTTGAACAACTTTAGTCAGGAAATTGCTCTGTGGTATTCCTTGGGGGAGACTGTTTAGCAGCGGACTTGATGGGCTGTAATAAACATCCATCCATTGATTATAGCATATAAAATCCACTGCTATATTTTTTTTAATTAGGAAGATGCTGCTGCCACATTCTCTGTTTCAATATCTCTCTGTCGCTTCTTACGACACTCACGTGACGGTATATAGTAGATATTTTTATACCGAAACTACAAGGTTTGCTATTTGGCCATAGGAAAAGGGGAGATAAACTCCCGTCGGGAAAGGTGTTCGGCCCGGGAAGCGATCAACACTCCGCGTGGTACGGTGAAAGTACACAGCTATTCTGTATATTATACTGCATTAATTCGGAACTTTGGTAGCGTGATTTAGGCATCGGTGAGTTTTCGTTTGTGGCGCGACTACATTGCTGCAGCTGCAATAACGATGATGAAGAAAGTGCCTGCTTGAAATAGCAGATGTTTTTGTGAGTGGTGAGAGAGGGTAATCTTATGTCATGTTCGACTGGTTGAAGGGACTGCTTGATGCAAATTGCTTGGTGATTTGGTTGGAGGGGAGGGGTTAACGTATCAAGGTGCGGTGTGGGCACCTGGTTGGAGGCGCGGAACTCCTCGACGCTGGCGGTGGGCAGCAGCGCGCGCACGAGCGCCAGCACGCCGGCCGGGCTGATGAAGTTGGTCTCCACGTTGACGACGCGCAGCGTGCTGTTACAGCCCAGCGCCTCGCACAGCAGTTCGGCGCTGCGGTCGTGCAGCCCCACGTTCACCAGCGACAGCACCTCCAGGTGCGTGTTGCTCTTCAGACCCTCGAACAACTTCGCGAACTTCTCATCGCTTATGTTCTGCAAATTAAACAAACCAACTCGCTTTCATCAAGTTTTGGCTGTGTGAGGCTGTCCACCCGTTGTTTGTGGTCGTCGGACGTCGCAAGAGGCAACAAAAGAACCGAACCAGAACATGGGTGACAGCATAACTAGAACTAAAAAAAGCACAACCCAGAGGGCAATATGTCACAAATATCCACAACCTATACCAATAAGACAATCTATGTTCATAGCCTATGTTCAGCAGTGAACTTTGATAATCTATAATAGTGATGGTCTCCTTTTATCAATATTTAAAAGCAAGATTTTTTTTTAAATATATCCTCGATGGTACTATAATTTACATTAATTGATGGCCTGGAACATATACGCCTATATTAATCCTCTATCAAAGGTTTATTAACATTAAAAACATTGAATAATATAATTATATCTGCGTTTTTCATCATCATAACCATTGCATTGCCAACCTTTTACTAAGGAGTATTTTCTTAAAGATCCCTAAGTCATATCCGTCCGGAAAAACCACTGGCTACAGTAAATCCCATAACATAAATAAAATGTAAATTCTTTGAGAAATACAACGTGGACTGCTTACCAACTGTGTTACTCCTCAAGATACCTCATTAGCCGGTAATCAATAATGGACTTCTTAATTTTTTTTGAAAAACAAGAAGGAAGGGGGCGAAGGCGATAAGGCTTATTTGAGGAGACGTCTTATTTACAGGTTAGGTACACTAAGGCTATCTTCCATGAGATTTTAACGACGCATAATGAGTAAGAGTATCATAAAAGGCGGTATCAACAGATTCAATCCGGTTCACACAACTTATAAACATGCAGAGAGGGTAATGCTTTATGCAAGTGAGCTCTGCAAAAACAGAATGACCTGTATGGAGTATTAGCACAGCAAAATGATCGGCGGTGCGTCATAAGTACGAGTTCACAATACACAAACGTAATACTGGTAAAAAAATGGATCCCTCCAAACTATTATTCATGGTAGTCACGCTGCATCTATATAATGGCTGTGGCACAAGTGGCTTGATCAGTGAAAAACCACATTCTTACCAAATAACAGCATAATGCTTCTATAAAAAAACTAACCCTACCAAAAATTTCCAGCACTTAAAACCCGTGCCGACTCCTATGACCGCTAACACAATTATTCTATTTTGTTTAAAAAAAAACTCACCTTAATATTATTCCAATTGAGTTCAGTTAGTGTCGGGTCATTTTCCACTACCCTTTTTATGGTTTCATCTGGGTCTGTGTCGTTGGGTGGGTCCACTGGGTATACCTGTAAAAATTAAGTTATTAATAGATAAAATAAACTAAAGAATGTACAGCAACTATATTAGCAATTAAAGATTTTATATAAAATCCTCTAAATGCCTCATTTCTGAGAGGTTGTACGGAGCAGTGAGTCTGCTATACTGTTTTAGTTTGTGTAAACAGACTTGTCTTCAAAACATTTTACTCACAAGATTTTACTTCACTGCCAAGGTGGTAAATCGGCACATAAAACTGCAATTAACAATTTCATTGATGCCAGCGAGGATCAAGCTTAGGTTTCTTAAATACTGCGAAATTTATGGCAAGTACTTAGTCTTAACTAGCTATTTACTAATAATATACTGTTCTGATGATCCAATTTTTTAACCCGCAGCTGTCCACAGCCAGACTTGAATCTCCTCCCGTTTAAAAGAAAGTCTTGCCATACTTGTATGGTGATCGGAATAACAGATAATATATATATCTATAAGCACGCTATAACCAGGAGTGCTACCAAGCCTGGACTGACGCATCGACGTCCCGGGAGGTAAACACCAGCGCTCTAAAAAAGAAGTGTAATTCCGCCTCTAAGTACTTCAAAAGAGTCATTGCCAAGGCAAAGTCAGAGCACATAGGCAGAATTGGCGAGAAACTAGTGCGCCTTCCTTCTGGAACCCGTGCATTCTGGTCTCTCGCCAAGGCTATCCAGGGGAATTTCTGTCAGCCATCTCTTCCATCTCTGCACAGGAAGGACGACTCACTGGCCCATACCACAAAGGAGAAAGCTGATCCTAGTAGAGCTCTTTCTTTGCGTCCAACTCGACTCTCGATGACGGGGGGGAGTACGCCGCCGACCATCCCGCGGTGTGAGTTATCCATGCCGGAAGTGAAGTTTACACAGCGCTCGGTTCGCAAAGCACTCCTCTCCCTGGACATCCACAAGTCGAGTGGGCCTGACGGAATCCCCCAATTGTGCTGAGGACGTGTGCTCCAGATTTGGCACCGGTTTTAACGCGTCTTTTCCGGTACTCCTACTCCCTAGGCGTAGTCCCAAGATCTTGGAAGACGGCTATCGTCCACCCGATCCCTAAAAAAGGCGACCGCTCAGACCCGTCACACTACCGGCCTATCGCCATCACCTTGTTCTCCAAAATAATGGAGTCTATTGTTAACTGCCAGCTCATGAGGTATCTTGAGGATCACCAGCTGATTAGTGGCCGCCAATACGGTTTTCGCCGTGGTCGATCAGCTTGTGATCTTCTGGTCTACCTAACTCATAGATTGGCGGAGGCAGTAGAGTCCAAGGGGGAGGCATTGGCCGTTAGTTTGGACACAGCGAAGGCCTTCGATCGGGTTTGGCACAAAGCGCTTCTTTCGAAGCTCTCTTCCTATGGGCTTCCCGATAAATTGTGCGATTCGATCACCAGCTTTCTTGCAGATCGGAGCATCAAGGTCGTTGTAGACGGTGCAAGCTCCGATTACAAGCCTATTAATGCTGGTGTTCCACAAGGCTGCGTGCTATCGCCAACGCTGCTTGTTCTGTATATCAATGATATGTTGCAAACCCGTAACATTCATTGCTATGCAGATGACAGCACTGGTGGTGCTCTGTACACCGGCCGTGCCAATATTTCTCGAGAAAACGTCTCCGAGTACCTGGACAAACTTGTGTCTGAAATCGAGTCTTTTCTGAACAGAGTCTCGGATTGGAAGCGACTAAATCTAGTCCAATTTAACCCCCAGAAGACACAAGTTTGCACGTTAACCGCTAAAAAGAACCCCTTTGTCGTATCTCCCCAGTTTCAAGGCACTCCCCTTGTTGCCTCAGCCACTATCGGTATCCTCGGCGTCGACATATCGAGTGACGTGAGTTGGTCACTTGGAAGAGAAGGCCAAATTGGCCTCTAAAAAGCTTGGCGTGCTCAGCAGAGCGGGACAGTATTTCATGCCGGCTCACCGCCTGCAACTTTACAAGGTGCAGGTTCGGCCGCACATGGAATACTATTCCCATCTCTGGGCTGGGGCTCCCCAGTACCAGCCCCTTCCACTTGACCGCATCCAGCGCAGAGCGGTTCGAATCGTCGACGACCGATTGCTTTCCGATCGGCTCGATTCACTGGCGCTGCGAAGAGATGTTGTATCTCTTTGCATTTTCTTTCGCTTATACCATGGGGAGTGCTCTGAGGAATTGTTCGGATTAATCCCAGCCGCCAAATTTCGTGAACGCACTACGCGGCAAACGTCCCGATACCATCCACACCATCTGGATGTTTGGCGGTACACCACTGTACGTTTCACAAGGAGTTTTCTTCCGCGTACGACCTCTCTGTGGAATAGTTTACCACCAGCGATTTTTCCGGACCGATACGACCTGGGAACCTTTAAGAGCTTACTCCTTTCTAAAAGGCCAGCAACGCACCTGCAATACCCCTGGTGTTGCAGTTGATCATGGGCGGTGGCAGTCACTTAACATCAGGTGAGCCGCACGCTCGTTTGCCCCTCTCTATAAAAAAAAGATGTCTTGCCTTTTTGACGGTGCTTTCGGTCGCTTGGTCTTTTTAGATCTCTAGGCATACATGAACAAGATGATTACATCGCCATCTATTGAAAGTTAAGAGATGCGATTTTGGCAAAACCCATTACAAGCAAGCCTCTAACTACATGTTTAGCAAGGGGTTTTAGAAGGGTACGAAATAGGTTAATAAATTTTATTAGGCCGCCTATACATGCCAAAAGTAACAATAATCTATTTTGCTCAACTGTTTGTATGTATTCATGATCAATCTCTGGATCTGGAGATTCATTTACATCTCAGTAGAGTCATAGGCTACTTTATAAAAAGTTACTTGTATGTTTGGAGAACCCCTACAATATATATTGCGACTTGTTTTCTTTATAAGTAATATACCTTTTGTTTCGTAGCTTTTGTGATACCGTCCCAGCCGAGACCGACTGGCTGTCCTTTGTTCAGTAGTGACGCATGGTACTGGTCCTGATTCATCATTGAGTGGAAGCCCAGGATAGCTGAGAATCAAAATATCAAGTAATAAGAATACCGTAATTAGAAACATCATGAAAAGAACAGCATGACAAAATGTATTGTTCAAGTCAGACAAGTGACAAATGCAGTAAATATTTGAATGTTGCCGGCAAGCAAATATTGGTATCAACACTCCAGTATTTCAATTGAGAGAGATTAGCCGACATTATATTGTTTCCTTAGTTTATTTTAGGTCAGGCAATTATTAGTACAAAATTGACAGATAAGACTAAACAACAGATTCAAAAATATGAATCCAAAATCTCACAGCTTTTATTTCTTATAGGGTACAACAGTATTATTTTCACATGTTTATCATCTGCACATCAACTTTTTTAAACCAAGCCGGTGATTGACTGCTATTTCAACTGATGGTAAGTGGTGACATAACTGATGATATTAAAGCGCATTTAGCTGAACAAAAGCCTATTCACTCTTGCCTTGATGATACTAATAATAGCATGGGTAGTTTAGTTTACGACGGGCTGTTTTCTGCAACTCCACGTCTAAGCGCGTATTTTGCGTGTGGGCAGGAATAATGTAGTTATTCGAGCCATGATATTTCCCCGAAGAAGTTCAACAGCCCTTTGATGTTGCACGCATCCTGTAGAAAACTGAAAGATTACTTTGGATATGTGTTCAAGAATGGGAAGATTGATTTAACCATATTCAGGTCACCAATAAGTCTTTAAGTAAACATTTTATATTGATTTATAGTAATATTATCATTAAAAAAAATTCGAAAGAAGTTACAGTAAGGTAGAGCTAACCAGCCAAATCAATAATCTCCTCCTGCGTGGCAGTGTTGAGAGCCTGTTCATACTCATCACCGAGATCAATAGTTATCTGTTCCTCGGCATCGCGCACCTTCTCTGTTGGGGGAGGGGGGATCCACTGAAAAGAAAACAAAACACATTGTTTATCTGTTTATTTAAACGAAAATCGCATTTTTTATTTATTTATCAAGTTTTGCCATTGGTAGTAGTAAATATACATACAAATAAATGATTGTATGCTAATCACACAAAACTAGAAACAATGAAAAACTTTATGTCATTTTCATTTTATAAGTACTTTTAAAGTAGATTGAATGAAATAGCGCGTTTAAAGTAGCTTGTAGGAAAAAACAGCATACCGAACAAACAGCAAAATAACTTTTAAAAATGTTACACTTAAAATATAATTCTCGTGACATTTGCCATCATAGCCTGTAGGAAATCTAAGTACAGTATGTAGGCACACAACAATGTTGAAATAACTGAAAAAATTCACACATGTATTTGGATTTTGAACAGGCTTTGTGTTTATATCCAAACTTGCCAACAAAACAATTTTTATAGTCATTATTACGTACTAACGGAACGGACAGAAGCGTTAAATAGGTCAAAAATTGTTTTTTAAAACAACTTTTGGGTTTGTAGTACCTACTAAGGTACCCAAGTCAACTTTCTAAAATTGATAACACTAATAGAAAACAATAAATCTCCACAGAACTTTATAACCAATTTGACAACTGATAAAATATGGGATTAAAAATGTATCTATTGATTATTTTTCTTCATTAGCCAGTTAACGTCAACTACTGATCATGTTTATTTGCCTTGTCACACTTGTCAGATGGAATTATAATCTCTCACACCAGACATCTTGCACCATATTGCACTTATGATACTGCTATGCATAGCCGGTCTGGGGATTTTTTGGGGACACAATTGGCGAAAAGGGGCAAATAATAAACTTTTTATTAATTTTCATACTTATTATATACTGTAATTAGATAAAACACATTTCAAACAAAATCGGAATCAATAATCTGTGGCAGACAAACATCTTGAATTAAAGGAAATAAATCATATTGTGAATGATGAATACTATGTATTTAAGAGATTATTTTCCATACATAAACCCTCACACCTGCAACCCAGATGGGTAAGCAGAGAATACGGACTTATATTTAGCCCGATCCTGACACCTTTCTTACTTCCTTCACATCTTTATATCATATGAGTGAATGTTTGTTGGCTAAAGGTACACCTAATTTGGCCCATCTACAATATTAGGTGCCACTCATGCTGCATATATAAGAAATAATTTCTGTTATCTTATTTTACAAAAAATATGTTTTCACACAATTGCACAGTTTGTCAATGTATATCTTTTGTATGATCGCAGGTTGTACAGACCTTGAAAACTATAAAGGCTAAATAAACATGTCTAATAGCACTGAGATCATTGTGGGTCGGTGAGTAGCAATTTAAAATTGACGGCGCTCATTTCATTATGACACACTACAATCCTACACCCAATTAATATCTCATACTCAACGAAATCCATTCCATATAGGGGTATAAAGGGGAGTTTAAATTAAATATATAACAATTGGACCATTTACACCATAAATAAGTTACTATCACACATAGATTAAATGAATTTGCAAAGTTTTCAAATTCTTTAAAAAAATCGTATTTAGAACTTCGGACGAGACAGTCAACAAATTACTGCAACTCTTTTTCAAACTTCTTCAAGAATATTTTTCAAAATATTTCACAAACTGGTTTGAAGTCTAATGAACAAGTAAATGGAAAGAGGCATTGATGGGACTATTTTTCTTAAAATTATATGACGTAATGAAAAGTTCTAGAATGTGATATAGGTTACCTTTTTGCCACGTATAACTCCTGGCACGTAAGGTTTTACTTCTGGCAGGTCAGGCGTCTCTAGTGCCTGTTTGTTTATGTGCTCAATCAGCTTTTTACGGTTAAGGGGACCCGTTGGGTCTTTTTCACATGCATAGTTGTTCCTTTGGGATGGTGGCAGAAAGTTGTCCTGGAAAATAATGTATCAATCATAACATTATGTTTGGAAATATGATAAATACTACACATACTAATATATGTCATTACACTAAATTGACATCATTGTTTTTATAAAACAATTGGGTAAACATCTTATAATACCCCATGCATATATATATATATCCCCAATTTGGAATGCATTGTTCTCACTTTATTAGTTTTATCTAATTCTATATTAGTCTGTTCTTATCAGCTTATCAGAAACCATAACATTTAACAGCCTACATTCATTATAATCATATTAACTGCTGATAAGTGATATCATAGCATGTACTCCTAATTAGTGGCACCTTTTCTAATCAAACAACAGAATTAAATGAATACAATTTGAAGTGGCTCTTGACTTGGAACCAACAGATATTTCAAATGTTAATACAAAGCTAAGTTCTCACTAACTTTTTTCCTTATTAGTTATTAACTCATTAAGTAGTTCAATCTACAATTATAGTAATTAGGTAAGACTTTTTTCTTTCAGTAGTTCAACTGAGTATAGGTAAATTTTTTTAAGAGTTAAACTGCTGACACAAAACAGTTGCAAACTCACATCACCTAATTAAATAAAATTATAAAATGAAATATTATTGTAGGTAATTTTATGTAAGGCACCTTTACTACTTTTTAAAACACATACACACTGGCATCTACATATTAATTTTACACTTCTAAACTTGAATACGTTATGATTATCAAATCTCCAATATTAAATGACATTGTGCATATTATATTTTATTATTTTTAGAAAATGTAATATTAACTGAGTCACTACTCACTATGTTTCAATTATTTTTATGTGGAATATAGAATAAGTTCTTGTAAATGTTTATTATAACATTTGAATATTAATATAAGTGTGTGAGACATTTATAGAATAACTCTCCTGCCTTACTCTTGTACCATAAAACTAAACATTTAGAAATAATAGTATTGAGACATTTGCGGGATTAGAACATAGCACATTGCTACTTATTTTACTTCATCCCACTTTTATTCATTTTTTGATTCTGGTAAAATTGTTTTAATATTTTTGTTTTACTATTTGGTATGTATTTAATAGGGGAGGGCTTAGCAGCTGTAACACAGGTCTGTGACTTAGCACGGTTGCTAAAGATACCTTAATATAGTATTGAGTTAGATTTACATCTTGTCAATGTAATTTTATGTTTTTGTTTTTATGTAAAGTATGTTTGGATTCAATAAATAAATAAATTTAAGGCACATTTTATTGGAAGTTACTTTAGGAAATATTTTATATTATTAACAGTAGTTTAAAGGTTTAACCTTAGATTAAGGTCCAGACTGTAAAGCCACATTACTATAATATAAAACATATTAGGACTACCCAAAAAGATTGGGTATAATTCTAATTTATTTATTTTATTTAAAACTTCATATACATACACGGTAATAGGTAGACTTAATGCCTAAGGCATTCTCTACCAGTTACCCTGGGGTGATGCAGAGATAGTATGAAGTAGGTGTTGTAAAAAGTTAATATGAGAACACTAAATTAAAATAACAAAAATTTTGTAATACATGGATATAAAATACATAAGATGTAAACGGTACGTCCCAAAAAATATATAACCTAATATAAAGGAAATATAAAAAAATAAGATAATAAAAATGTATAATACATAACTACATATTATAATGTCAGATGTATTTAACGCAAATAAAAATAGGATGGTTCATTCATTTATTCATTACAGCCTATCAAAAATCCTCATAGGCTTCCCACATGGGTTGCCTCATAGGGAGGATATATTTACTATAATTGCCATGCTTGGCAAGCAGTTTAGCAACTAAAACAAAACAAACAAACATTAGTATTTATAATATATTAGATTAGATTACCCTATCCATTGGCAATTTATTTTACAATTAGAACTTGAAAGTTATTCAAAAAAACTTTCATATTTTTGAAACACTTAAAAATCTTGTGTTGTAGTAAAATTAAGCATTAATGAGTATAACAATTTTTAAAAGTACTCAGAGTACCAAATAACTCAAATGTAGAGAAACCCCTCATTACAATACTATACCTACTCAATTTATTTTAATATCATAAGTTTAATCTTTGAATTGTATAGTAACTTTCTCTGCAACTATTACAATTAATTGCTTTTGTATGGAAATGAATATTATTCCACATTACCAAATGTAAATAAATTCAGTATTACCAACATACTTACTTGATAAGCTTGTTGTGTTTGGTAGTGCATGTAGGACAATTTGTTAATACTAATTATTCAAGAGCAAGTACGCGTAGGTGGTAACTTGATACCTATACTAGGTTACTTTTATCAAAATGCCGCAAATTTCCACATATGAGCCAAATATAATATTGTTACGAGCTACTGAGAGCAGTCATGGCCTGACTTTTATTCCAGCCGTTCGCCTTCATAACGGCTTCAAACTGGATTTTGTAAGCTGACCAGGAAGAAGTCCCGTCGAACGGTGGCACTTTGAACCCACGTATCGAAGGTGTTGTAGCTACTACGGGAGCTGTAATTCCATCCCCCAGTTTGAGGTCGTCCAGCGTTTTCTTCACGTCAGCCATCACGTTGTCAACCCGATTGTTTACTTGGTTGATTCGGGTTTCAGCTTCTGACAGGCGGTTGTCATACTGAGCAACCCTATCCTTCACCTCCTTGATCTCCTTCTCGAAGGTAGCGTGAAGGTCCTTCATGAGGAGCATCTGTTCTTCCAACCGACGGGCCTATTCCTCTTGTCTGTCCCGCAGCTGTTCTTCCAAACGACGGACCTGTTCCTCTTGTCCGCCCCGCAGCTGCTCTTCCAACCGACGGGCCTGTTCCTCTTGTCCACCCCGCAGCTGCTCTTCCAAACGACGGACCTGTTCCTCTTGTCCGCTCTGCAGCTGCTCTTTCAACTGACAGACCTGTTCCTCCTGTCGGCGAGCCTGCTCCTGCAGCATCACCATCAGAGCTTGACAGACGGGCCTGCAGCCGGCGGCTGGCCCTCCGACGTCTGCGGCGTTGCACCACCAAATCTTCTTTGGTCTGTCTCCTGCTGGCGTTGACTTCGGGTACGGACACCCTCCGTTTCCTCCTTAGGTAAAATCGGCATGATTTTATCCCACTTCTAACACCAATTGTTACGAGCTTGAAGTTCGTGACAATAAAAATTGCCGATAGAATTACCAAAATTAACTCTTTAATTCACTTTACAGTAATTAAGACTTAGAACACTAATAATTAATCACACTGATTCACTTTATTTCGCTCCGAAGCTTCGCTTGTCTCGCCAAATTCAATACTTCCCCGATCGCATCTTGCAGCGCCTTTAAATACACATTATCAACGAAATATCCAGAATATTCAAGTAAATACGCGCGCCAATCGACTAGGCGTCGAAAGTTCGAGTGTCGGGCTTCTAGAAGCTTAGTTCTTCGTTTCGATACTAGATGGCGCTGTCGGTTGAAAGATTAGTGATGTCATTTTCTGGAAACCTCCCCTCGCTCTCGTCTCCGACACTAGATGGCGCTAGTTCCGGGTACATGAACGAACCTTCGTCGAACCCTTTGTTGTTCAGTTTGCGGTCATACCGGGTTTTCACCTTTTCAGACATTTGCTGGCCCGATTGTCTGACATGCTCATAAATGTCATTCATTTTGTTCCGCAAGTCATTTGCATAATCGGTTATACTGCGTGGGGCATCAAGGTGGTATCCCGGTGATCAGGTCTGCAGGCAGCCGTAACTCTCTTCCAAAGTTTGCGAAAGCTGGTGTCACTGCTGTACTTTCGTGAACAGCGCTTCGATATGACAACAAAAACGGTTGCATGTGCTTGTCCCAATCTCGTTGCCGATCGTCTACAACTTTTGCTAGGTACCTCTCCAATGTTTGATTAAATCGTTCTACCATTCCATCAAATTGCGGGTGATAAGAAGTCGTTCTTGTTTTATGAGTACCCATAACTCGGCAAGTTTTCTGGAATATTTGAGACTCAAAATTCCTTCCTTGAACGCTGTGAATCTCTAAAGGTACTCCAAAACGACAGAAGACTTCATGAACTAGTTTATCTGCAACTGTCGAAGCTTCTTGGTTTGGAATGGCGACGACTTCTGGCCACTTAGTGAAGTAATCCATCACAACCATGAAATACTTGTTACCGCTTTCACTCTCCGGAAACGGCCCCGCCACGTCAATGGCTATTCTCTCCCATGGTGCACCAACATTGTACAACTTCAATGCACCTCTACTACGAGTCTGAGGTCTCTTTACAGCCGCACAACTTGTACATTTGCGACACCAGTCCTCGACATCGTTTCGACAGTGGACCCAGTAAAGCCGTTCTCGGATCTTCAGTTGAGTTCGTTTAACTCCCAGATGGCCTCCTGAATAATCATTATGGTACAGCTGTAGAACATCCGGTACTATAGCTTTAGGGACAACCATTTGCAAATGACAGCTGTCTCCCCGAACATTTTCCCATTTACGGCACAGAACTCCATCCTGAAGCAGTAAGCTGCCCACTGGGCCCAATAGCTTTTAGTGGTCGAACTCATCGCTGAGACGTCGCTCCACTTGGGCTTGGGAGCACTGGCCTTCATCCATTCCAGAATCGGCTTGATGTTCGGATCTTCCTGCTGTGCACGTTGTAAGCTGTCCTTCCACTCGTTGCTGAGGTGGTCTGCCCTGAGCATCCTCACGGATACCACTTCCTTACTCTCTTGCCTAGTACAATGTTTGCAATCTTCAGGACAAGGTCTTCTTGACAATGCATCTGCGTTGCCATGAGATTTCCCGCTGCGATGTTCGATCTCAAAGTCGTATTTCTGCAGTAGTTCAATCCACCTCGCAACTTGTCCTTCTGGATTTTTAAACTGCAATTGCCACTTTAGTGCAGCATGGTCAGTTCGTAAGTGAAATTTTCGCCCCAGAAGATATTTGCTAAAATGCTGCAACGACTTTACCACAGCTATCAATTCGCGTCTTGTGACACAATAGTT